GATGCCATCAAGCCAGACACAGAAAAGCAGCTGGAGATTTGTGAGCTGAATAAAGATTCTCAAAGGTGTGTTGTGTCATGGAAACAGGAGTCTGGCCATGCAGAGGGAAGAAATCTCACCAAACATCTGTGGATACTCACTTGATGCCCCGAAAGGTTAGGCTTTTAAAAATTAATCAATTTGTCTTGTACAGAGCAAATAAGTTGTAGGATTTTTCTGTCAAATTGGCTTGAATAATTGATTCCCACTAAATAGTAAAAACTCATGCAAACTGAATGCTTACCACCGTGTTAGCAGTCGCCAGCCTCCCTTTCCACATGCTTCATCAGGAGGATTTGCAAGGACTTCTTCCTGTCCTGTTTTCCTCTGCTACCCACTGTCCATATTTCAGTCTGTTTCCAGATCCTGAAAATCCCTTTGTTGCTGAAAGACTAGTGCCCTTTGCCATCTTAATTCCAGGGCCCCATAAGCACAGTGAGTTGTTCATTGCATGGTTTACTCATTTGAAGCGCAGAGTTCCTCTGTGGTGTTCAGTGTGTGTGTTTTAAGGAATGTGCTTTTGAAGAACTCTTGTTCTTGTTTTTTTTTTTTGGCAAAGTCATTTTTTTGTCTTCTTTCAGTAACAATTATCTGTGATTAGCCAGCATTAGAACAGAGTGGCTCAAGGATCTCTGTCCTGTTTTCTGCGGGGTTTCATAAAGACCTTTGTCTTCTATTTCACAAATGGTTCCCCAGCTCCTGTCACTTCTTTCATTCATGGGTCATTCACACACTCCCCTGGATGACTCTTAGAAACTGCCACTTGTCAATCAAAGCAAAGTAGATGCAAGGTGAGAAAATCAGGAAAAGCTTGCCTTGCTTAAAATTGAGTAGACTTTTCCTTGTAAAGTGATGTTGCCTCACCATTTCATTTTGCATGTTAGTTTCTAACCGTGTTTGGGTCCTCTTTGAGGACCAGTAAGGTCCTGGATGATAATAAAATAAAGACTCTAAAAGAGTATTGTGCCAGAGAACTACAAAGGAATAAACTTGAAGTTTAGTGTGGAATATATATAAAGTAAAATTTTGTTGCATCTGGAAAGGCTTTTTAAAAAAAAAAAAAAGAAAAGAAAAGAAACATTGTGAGATAACTTTGGTGCTTCAGGACAGAATAAAACTAGCAGTTTGGTGAGCAGTTCTTTAGAAGTTTGTGGTAAAGTAATAATAGAAATGTGAATTCTGACCTCAAAAAAAGCTGACTAGTATAAATGACCATTTATAATCCTTTTTTTAATCTCATAAATTTTATGTAAAAATATAATGGCCCAAAAAGTATGTCCTTAAATTTAAAGGCATCTGTTTATATAATTCACATAACTTTCCAAAAAAAAAAAAAAAGCAGAGTTGGGTAACTTTTTTCTGAAAATAGAATGGCCCACTTTTTCTGGCCTAGGCCCTTGGGATTATTAGCAGTCAATCCTGGGGCCCTCAATTCTTGGACCAGTGGCTTCAGGTAGAGCCCTGTGTCATATCGCAGCTTTCACCAAATCTCTGAGAGATACTGCATGCACATCACTTGCCAGCACTAGCAGCACCGAGCTCTGTGCACAGTTTCTGGGAGGGAGTAGCCGTGGACGCTCCTGCTTCAGCCAGTGTCAGGGCACCGTGTGGGGCCTTTAGGATTCCCTCCTCCCCAGATGGACAAGACAATATTAACTCCTTCCTGAGCAGAAAGGTGGAGGAAATCATCAGAGATGTCTGTGATGATGGCAGACAGCAGTGCCCACGTGCATTCATAAGTGATATACAACTGAGGGACTACATTATAGCTCAGGATTGCCATGGATATTTTGGTGAAATAGCTGGTCTCCTCTGCTGTTTGGTTGGTTGATTGATTTTTTTTTTTTTTTTGGTCTCATAATATTACACTGTGTAGCTGCTTGATCATGTGTCTGTCTGAGTCCCCTGTGGATGTAGTCTTAGGTTGCACATGTGAATACACATGTGCTCACACAGATGACACACTTGGCTTTACATTTATTTGTGTTGCTGTTTCCTTAGAATATATTCTTATGGTGACGATACTGTGAGAAATAGAGGCATGCTGTAGATTAATGTGATAATTTAATTAAATGATGTTATAAAACTTTAATGCCTGAGTGGAGAAAAAAGGTTCAGAAGTACTTAGTAGTAAGTTTTTATTGTCTCTATCTTCCATGCTAGACTTTAAGCCCTTAGATAAGGTGTTTGTTTAGAAAAACACTAGTGGTCTCAGCTCAGAGCTGCTTTAACAGCAGAACCGCATTTTATATATATATAATTCTTTGTCAAGCAATAAGGAAACCCTCATTACCCAAAGCCCAGAGGAGTGAGTACAGAGCCTGTTCATTCTGGAGCTCCTGACTTTTTATGTAGACCATCCTCAATGAGTCAGCTACTCTCAAGGTTGTCCTATCACATGGTGCAAAGCTCCCAATTACCTCAAATGAGTGATAGTGGCATCTCACTCTAAATCCCTGACAGACTTACCCTCACATTTTATTTAGCATCAATAAGTAAATGAAGTAGGACTAATGTGGTTGGCTTAGAATATTGCTTTTCATTCCCTTTGACCCATTGGAGGAAGTGCATTTGTATCATGGACACATTACCCATCACATATGTGTTTGAGCATATGTCACTCTTTACAATAGAATCTAATTTTTAAAAAATGTCCTGAAAACACTATACTAACTTTACCACCTATTGTGGTTTGTGTATGAAGTACACAGCAAAAGGCGCATGTGCTGAAGGCTGCGTCCTCCATCTGGGGAGGTTCTTCAAACTAGGACATAGTACGTAGCTAGAAGACGTAGAATGTGGGGCAGGGAACACAGGCATGTTCTTGGGTGTTGTATCCTGCCTGTGTCTCTTTCCATCTCTCTTCACTTCCTGATTCTTGTGCTATGAACTGCTTTGCTCTACCATGTTCTCCCCAGCACATTGGAAACCTGAAACAAATCCTCCTTTAAGCTGTTCGTGTCAACTATTTAACATGGTGATGGAAAAGTGACTAACACACTATTATTATAAGGTTAAGCACTACGTTATATATATGTGGGAGCCAAACACAAATAATGTTGGTAGGTTGTTGGTGAGCTTTTTCCAGCTCTGAATATGTGAAGGCAATGCTGTGAGACTCTATGATACACTCAAGCTTTGTTCATTCACTTCTTATATTTTTGATTGAGTCAAGGTAAAAAAAAAATAACTATTCACATTTGGTCTAATATTAGTAACAATTGGTCTACATAAGAGTCATTAATGCATCTCATACAGGCATGCATGAATAGTAAGATTTGGGGATCAATAGAAACCATTTGGCAGATGCATAACAAAAGTATGTAAAAACAACTACATTTAGTTTATAATCCCAAATTGAGTTCTGGATTGGTAACACAATTCTATGCAAAATAATTAAGATACTTCAAAAAACTTGAATGGGCCTATGCGTTAATTTCTTGTTTTTAATAGTTGTAATATGCATATGTGTGACAATGTTCTTACTATTTGGAAAACGCACTGAAGTGTCTTCGATGGAAAACTATAAATTTTTTTTTTTTTACTTGTGTGAACTTCTCCTGGAGAGATACATTTATTGAGCCCAGATAGGGCACCCGTGGCTGACCAAAGTAAAGATTCTACCCCAGCTGGTTATGGTGAAGCAGAGAATTTAATAAGGCTGACTCAGGGGCTTACCTGGCTGCCCAAACAGCTGCTTCCCTGAAAGCTCTCACCTATGACAGCTTCCTTGTCATCCAGCTGCATACAAGGAGCACCCACAAAACTCCTACCTTAGATATATCCCATCATCTCCAAAGACCACTGGGAGCTCAGAGAATTATTCCATTAGCTGGAGGGGAGCACAGGAAGGAGTGGCTGCAGTCTCTGGTGCCCTGATTAAGGAGGAAATGGCATTCTGCTCTCAAGATAGCATTCTACAATAATTCTTTTTTGTGAGTTTAAATTTAAAACTTTTAAATGTCAAGGATTATTTGCAATTTAAAATATGTGTATTCAGTTCTTGAGTTCAATCATACTAAGTACATTTTATGTATGGCAAGGTTATGCTACCTTTTTTTAAAAAAAAAAGTTAAAAAATACCTTAATTTTTATTTTTATTTTTTTATTCCTAGTATCACTACCATAATTACAGGGCGATATTCCCGAAAGGGACAGAGTTACAATAGATAAAGACTCAGAATTGTACATCTAATTTGATACTGCATTGCCTTAATCGATAGCTGCACCTTTTGCAAACTGGCTATCACTGCCTTGAATGAGAAGGATTCCTGGTTAAGCTGCTGTAACTTTTCTTGTGGATTCGGGTTGCTAGTACTGTGTTGCACGTATTTTCATAAGGGGTGTCGTTTTCCTGTTGTGTCTTTGTTTGGCTTTGGTGTTAATAATGGGCTTGCAGGATGAGGCGAGAAGCAGTTTCTCCTGTAATTGGAGATTTTGAGAAGGATTGACAGTAATTATTCTTGGAAATGTTTAGTCACATTCACCAAGGAAGCATCTAGACCCAAGGTCTTTTTTTTTTTTAATTGGAAGATTTAGAGTTTGAACCCTTGATAGATCTGCTCAGATTTTCTGTTTCTACTTGGGTCGGTTCCTAGGGATTTTGTTATTTTTTTATTCCTTTAGAGTTTGATTTATATTGACTAACAATGCACTTTTTATATTGTAATAAGTATCTGATTGAGTTTTATGTCATCTATAAGGACATCATTACCAAAAGTACATCTTCAGCCTATTAGGTTTTTTCCATTTCCATTAGTGTTTGGTATGTGAACGGGTATACATGATTTAGAATGTATAGAAGCAAATTCCTTAATTTCAGCTGTTAATAGTGTCCTTAAGAGGAATAAAGGAATTTCCCATGGTGTGTGTTAGTTGGATACCAATGAATATGGGCAGAAATAAAAGCCTACAAATGGCATCTCCTTTATTTTGATTGCTATTCATCTTTGTCTTTTCAGCATGATGTATCCCAGACTTTACTCAAGGCAACACTGGACAGTGTTGTAGAAGAATGTGTCAGCTTTGTGGGAGTGGATATTAACATTTGTTCTGAGGTTTTGTTAAGGTGAGACAAGAGTTTAACTTGCTGGCTAAGAGAAGGGGCGTGTGTATAAAGTTTCCCAGCATAGAAAACATACAGTTCATATGTTCCTGTGGGATGCCTAGAGAGGAAAGTGTCACTTAAGGCAAGAATTGCAGGAGTTCGCATTGTATAAGGTAGTGCACATCTGGAATGAAGGGCTCGTGGCAACCATTGATAGAAGGGAAGTAAGGTTAGCGTGAGAAAGTGCTGCTGCCCCCGGTGGAGTGAAGATGTCTGTCACTCACACTTCTCTTGCATACATCTGCCAAAGCTGAAGGTAACCCAAATGGGAGGGCTTCTGAGGGTCCAAGGTGGTTTGCTGGGTTCTCCCTGATCCATAAGTCACCTATCAACATTGACTGTTCTCCTGGCAATTATAGAAGAGTTCCTTTTCTTTTTCTTTTATGTTTTGGTTCACCTCATGTTCTGAATATACAGGTCTGCTGGTGCTGTGTGAAGTTCCCAGATCTAGACCCTTCTCACTGAAATAGTGATGGTGGAAAAAGACACTCTATGTTCTAAGACACCACTACCTACCAAATCTGTGAAAGTCGCAATTCCATGGTTGGAACTACACAGTAGAAGTAGGGTTCTCTGTACCAGTAATCTTTTAATTGAAAGCAAGCAAACTCCTTATTGATACAGTTTTTGTGCCTTTGTGCCAACCCTGCCATTCAGGGAAGTCTATTTCTGTATTTCAGTTTTCCATATCTGAGGACCCAGCAGACCCGAAGATTCTAATAATGTTGTGCTACTGTACAAAGCCAAGCAGAAGGGCTTCCCGGAGTCAGGAGATGCAAAGCTTGTGAGCCATGTGCAGGTGCAGATGCTCTGTTGCTGCATGAGCTTCGCCAGTACCACGAGCAACAACTGCTCTGCATTGACCCTCTTTCTTGTCCTTCTTTTCATTAGTTTAGACATATGGGAATGTGTAATTGCAGTTGATTTTAGGAGCCAGGTGATTTATGCCAGTACATTTTTAGGTGAGAGTTTTTTTTTTTTTTTTCCTACTCTTATTTCTGTTGTTTTACATTACCTCTTATTTTTTTAGGCATATTGCAGGACTCAATGCCAACAGAGCCAAAAATATTATTGAATGGCGAGAGAAAAATGGGCCTTTCATCAACCGAGAACAGTTGAGGAAGGTTAAAGGGCTTGGTCCAAAATCCTTCCAGCAGTGTGCTGGCTTCATCAGAATCAACCAGGATTACATCCAGACGTTCTGCAGGTAAAAGCTGACACCCCTGTGGCTTTGCCAGCCTCCTGTCTTGTTACTGTTACCCTGCTGATAGCCTAAGTTCTTGATGCTCGTTGTTAATTCTTTCACCCTATGGGGGTTGAGTATGTTCTGTGCTAGGCTGGGAACATAACTGTCAGCAGACAGACAATTGCCTATTCTCATGGAGTCATATTTTAATGCTTGGAAAGGACAATAAGCCAACCTGTAAAACAGGTAGTCTCAGCTGGCAAATAAGTGCTGTAAAAATTAAGGGACTTGTTGCTGTCCTGTGGAGCCAAGCAGCTGCTTTAGATACATTACGTATTAGAAAATTATGTGAGCACAGTTTTGAGTGGAATGAAGGGGCCAGCTGCACAAGGATCAGAGCAAGCGTCAAGTGTGAGAAGTCCTGTGGCAGGGCCGGCTTTGATGTGTTTAGAAACATGGTGCAGCCGCATTACAGCCACACAGCAGGGGAAAGGGAGGAACCACTGTATGATGGGAGCGTGGTGAGGGAAGGAGCACTAGAGAGTTGACCTGCTCACAGTGCACTGCTGACTTTACAGCGACCACCAGTCACCAGTTGTGTGGGCTGAATTGAGTCCTTTCCTTCTAGTCCAAGTTACTCAAAAGCAGAGAATGTGGATAAACTTGATAGCATTTCATAACCATGGAGGAATAGTCTTTATGCATCTGTCCCTTTGGGAATTCCTGGTGCATTAATGCACATTTTCTCCTCTTCACAAAATTATCGTACAGGTCATGCAAAAACAGTTTCATTCTGGAACAGGTGGAAAGTCAGCTACGTATGATGGTAGAATACATTGCAAAGCTCAGTAATAAGAGTAATAATGAAACAGTTGGGTTTTGATAAGTAAGTGGAACAGAATAAAATCTCAAAGGTACTATAACAGAGTTGGAATTTAGCTTATGATAAAGTGACATTTCATATACTGGTAGAAAATTGTCATAAAATCACAGAAAAATGTAACTCAGAAGGTTGGTATATACATACCAACTCACTCATTTTCAGTAACATAGCTCAAAGGGTTAAATGTATCACCTCCCTTCTTCTATAAGATTCCCTGCACTCTGCCCAAAGTTTGGCTATGAGTCTCAACATCTGCTTCGATACCCTTCTGGGTAGAGTCAGAGGCCCTCTATGGCAGGCTCCTGTCCTGTTCCATGTCTTTTCCTGGACTCAGTGGCTGGCTCTTTGATCACCTCCTCCTGGGGGCTGCAACCTTGCCAGGCCACAGAGGAAAATGATGCAGCCAGTCCTGATGAGATCTGAGAGGCTAGGGTCAGATGGAAGAGGATAGGGAGGAGGATCTCCCCTATCAGTGGGCTAGGGGAGGGGCACAGAGTGGGGGAAGGTGGACCCTGGAGGAGATGAGTGAGGGGGCTACAGCCAGGATACAAAGTGAATAAATTTTAATAAATAATAATAATAATAGTTAAATGTAAAGAGAGAAACTGTAAGTATATAGCAGAATATGTGGGGAACTCTTACAGAATAGTGGGTTGGTAGGATACTTTCCCAGGCAGATTACAAAACCCAGAAGCTGAGGCTGCGAACAAGCACGGGGACCTGAGTTCTGTCGCCTGGCACCACATTAAAGCCCAGGGAGGCTGTGCTCACTGTGGTGCTATGCTGGAGTGGCCACCGGCCTGTCCGAGCCAGTGAGTTGAATAGAGGAAGATGCCCGATAGGCAGCCCTAGCCTCCATATGTACACACACAACCCGTAAGCCACAAGTGAAAAGTGTTGAAGTTAAATAATTATTTATTAGCTTATATGTTTTTTAAAAGCTTAGTCAGAAAATTCAAATAGTATTTAAAAAAAAAAAAAGTGAGTTGTACCTTGCTGTCTCACTTTAAGCTTCTTGTTCTTATTTCCACACTGTAAATGTGTTTCTATGTCACCCTTTTGTATGTGGCGTTTACTGTTAAGTGTGAGCAGGTGCTTATATCTATTTGAAACTTTGTTTTACTCATATCTCTTCCCAAGCATTGTAAACAGATTTTTTCTTTTTTCCTGTCACTCTCTACAAGCCTCATGTAATATTTTAATTAACTTACAGATAAGCTATAATTTAATGCAATCATTGCCTTATTGATAAACATTTGAGTTGTTGTAAAGCTTTATAGTTTTCAACTGATATCAGTACAAAAAAGTTGTTATTGTTAGTCTGCATGCCTTTAATGAGAATATCGTGTAAATTGCTACCTTGTTGATTTTTGCCATGAAACCTTGTGACCTGCTAGCCTTGCCGCTCTCCTTGCCTCTGCAAGAGTGTGTTGGTGTTATCTTCATTCGTCTGTGCATTTAACTGTTGATGCTTCTTATAAACATGGCCTCATGCTTTGCCTTAGTCCAACTCTGACGCCTTTGTATGTATTGACTAATTAATTGCACTGAATCTCTGTCTTATATATTTTTCCCATTCTTCTTTCTGAGTCTTCTTTTCTTTTATGTTCTCTGTTGAATTCATGTGAAGACATTAACAGAAAATGATACTGAGATGATTTTCAGTACAAGAGAAACTTAATGTAAGATATTCAAAGGGAACAACTTTAAATATTTTATTCTATGTATTTGTTTGTGTGTACATGTGGGGAGCTGGATTGGAGGACAACTAGCAAGAAGAATCAACTCTCTCTCCTTCTACCACGTGGGTCCCAAGAACAGAATAGACTCTCCTCATGTCACTCCTTGTTTTCCTCTCACAGCTTTATCTTTCCTTGGTGCTTCAAAGCTGGACACCTTCTGCCCTCCCAGTCATTATCCTCAGCTTTTCTTTTTGTTTTTACTTTTTTGTTGTTGTTTATTTACTTTACTCCCAATCACAGCTTCCTCTCCCCTTCCCCCCCTCTTTCTTCTCAGAGTAGGGGAGGCCTCCCATGGATGTCAGCATGCCTTGGCATATTCAGTTGAGGTAGAACTAGGCACTTATTCTCCTACTGAGGCTAGACAAGGCAGCCCAGTGGGAAAAGTGATCCAAGGGCAGACAGCAGAGTCAGAGACAGCCCTACATCTACTGTTAGGAGTCCCATGTGAAGACCAAGCTGGACTTCAGTTATATGTGTAGGGACTCTACTATCCAAGTATGTTCGTTGGCTGATGGTTGAGTCCCTGTGGGCCCAGGTTAGTTGATTTGTAGGTTTTCTTGTGGTGTCCTTGACCTCTCTGGCTCCTTCAATCCATCCTCCCTCTCTTCTACAAGATTTCCTGAGATCTGCCTAATGTTTGGCTATGGGTCTCTGCATCTCTTTTCATCAACTGCTAGGTGAAACCTCTCAGAGGACAGTTACGCTAGGCTCCTGTCTACAGGTATAGCACAGTATCATTAATAGTATCAAGGGAGGGGGCTCGCTCTCATGACATGGGTCTCAAGTTGTTCTAGTCATTGGCTGGCCCTTCCCTCAATTTCTGCTCCATCCTGAACTGACCTCTGGAGTTAATCAGCAGGTCTGTCCTCCAGAAAAAGGCTAGAAACTTAGGACTTTCCCCAGTTTCCCAACCTGATTTTCTTTAACTCTGTTTTCCCTTCATGGTGAGATTCACACGCGCACGCAAGCGCGTATACACACACACACACACACACACACACACACACACACACACACACGAATGCATGCATACAGACATACATAGGTGGCATTATTTAGATTTTTATATATACACTTATATATATACATTTTAATAACATAAGCATCTGCTTAATGTCACTTTTCAATTCTGTATTCTTCCCACCGTTTCTATAGTGCATATTATTGTTTGTTTTCAGTCACTGCTTTTTGAGGGTCCATGTGTAAGATACTCCTGGAGAGGCTGAGTAGGTTTTGCTGAAGTTCTTACATGTCTGGAGATGTTTTAGTTTGTCCTCTTATTGAATGCTTTTTTGGCTCTGCATTTCAGCGCATTTTCTTTACACCTTCAAGGTTACTTTGTCTGTGTTCAGACTGTGTCTCCTGTTTGCAGTGTGAAACCTGGTGCCAGTCTGGTTTGGCTTGCCTTAACTTAAATACTTTATTCTTTTGAAAGCCATTGTCTTTTTTTCAGATACATACTCTGAAGTGTCCTATTGATATGTCAGATGTGAGTCTGTCTTCTTGGTCTCATTCTGCACTCAGTAGGTTCTATTGGAAACTCAATTTTCCTCAGCTCTGAGAAACCATCTTTGCCATCTTACTATGATGATAAGACTATATGTTTCTTCATTTCCCCTAGATTGCTAGTTTCATGGACTGAACTATGTAGAAATGGTTTTTGAGTATGAAATGGCTTTGAGTAACAGAAAATTGTATTAATAGTATTTTAAACAAAATGTGGTAGTTTCTGTGAAGTGAATGATTGCTGTGTATGGTTTGCATAGTAGAGGACTAAGTACCTGATTAAAGTTTCTTTGCTTTTCTGCCCAACTTTCTCTCTTGGAATGTGTTTTATTATGGTTTTACTTGACTATAGTAGTCAGTGCACTGACTCTTCAGACCAGAGCCAGGGAGCTGCAGTGGTCACGAATGAGAAGCCGAGCAAAAAGAAGAACAAAGCAGATGTCATCTTCACACCAAACCCCCTGGACCAGACTTGCATCCATCCGGAATCCTATGACACAGCAGTCAGGTGAGCCAGAGGCCAGCTCCAGAGTTCTCTATGTGCCCTGCGAGCTCTGCACAGCACATGGTCCTTGTGTGGGCATAACGAGAGCTGAGACACAAGGCTGGGTTTGACATGACGACAGTTTTTAGGTGTTCCACATTGCTGAGTTGGCCACACATTATTTTACAGCAGTGAGGAGTGAAGCCGCTATTCCTGGAGCCACGTCAAGCCAATAAGCCTGGTTCTAGGGGAGAAATCTGTGGAGTGGAAATTGCATGGCAGTTTATTTGTTTTGTAAATTAGCATGACTCACTTGACTAGCACCTGGTATAACTGCTCTTCGAAAGACAAAGCTCTTTTTGAAAGTATAAACAGCCAACTTTCCCAAGAAATTCTGTCCTGTTGGGTTATTAGGGTCTAATGTTCTTTTAGTGGGACCACATTAACAGAAAATGATACTGAGATGATTTTCAGTACAAGAGAAACTTAATGTAAGGTTTTCAAAGGGAACAACTTTACTTTTTTTATTATATTTATTTGTGTGTACATGTGGGGAGCTGGGTTGGAGGACAACTAGCAAGAAGAATCAGCTCTCTCTCCTTCTACCACGTGGGTCCCAATAACAGAACAGTCATCAGGCTTGACAGTAAGACTCCCCGACTAGCCCATTTTATTGACCCCAAAACAACTTTTTAGTTATATATTTAATTATCTTAAAATTTTTTCTGTTTGTTCAAAACCTGTGACTTGCTATACTTTATAACCAAAACTTCCTAAGGTTCTGACTAGATTATACAGTAATGGCTTTAAAACCAGTTTGCTTCAACTTTGATTGATTCAAAACTATGAGATCTGTAGATTGCTTTTAAATCATAGGTATTCGCTTACTTTGCTGAACATCACTGGCTTTTGTGCAATACTGTGTGCTCAACTGGTGACTTCCCTGCTCTCGGTGCTTCTTTAGGGTGGCCTGGTTGTCCAGAAGCAAGACAGCTGTAGATTAGCTGACAGGAAATCTCTTTTCTGTGTAGTTCCCCTCATAACCTAAGAAATTTAGAGATGAAATGAGTAGTTATCGAATTGCCCTTGGTGTGTAACTGTCCGGTCCTGAGCTGTAGTAGTCACCTCTGGCTTTCACACACCTCATCTAAATGACACTCAACATAGACAGTTCCTACAGGTCTTAACCACTGAGCCATCTCTCAGCCTTCCAAATGTTTTTGGTCTGTACTTGATTGAGTCTTTGCAGGCAGCACAAGCAGATGCAGAGGCCTAACTGTACGATTCTTACCATGTTTGTGTGATTCTCTCTTTCCCATTTGCCTGTTCTTCAGTTCTTGGTATACTTAAATCTGTCATTGGATGAGCTGAAAACTTAGTCTCTATCATTTACCTTTTGTATTTGCTCATAATGTTATGGTTTGGAAATAGGAATGTTTAATGTTTATGAACTGATTATTTTTCTTTTATGTAAGATGGGCCTTCTTTTATATCCTCATCTCAGGAAAGCCTGGTGTTTCCTTATTTTTAAAAATATATTCCTTATGGTTCTAATATTTACTCTATGGGTTTTGTTGGTGTGATTTTATTCAACACTTGGAATGTGGTAGGGCCCCTCCAGGAGCATACTGAAATAGGACAGAATTTAAGTTCCCAGGTACTGAATGGAGGACAATGATAATTACTGAAGACTCCTGAAGCTTTTTTGGTGGGGAGGAGAGCTCATTTCCAGACAGGGATGTCTTGTAGATTCATGTAGATGAGACAGTGGCATCTGCACTACATCGTCAGGTGGTTCAGTCAGTAAAAAGAGGCATAGGGTGGTTAGCAGGTTAGAGAGGAGAATGCACTTCAGGCTGAATTAAGGAGTTGTTGATAGACCAGTAAGAAGAACAAACATTCATTGGTTACTTCCTCATTACCAGGCATTTAGACAGAACAAGGTGTGTACACATCACAGCAAACCCAGGAAATTGGTGCTGTTGCTATTCTCATATCAGGCTGACCAAGTCTCACAGGAAGAAAATAAATCACCTGAGACAGCTTATCTTAGTAGAAGCAAGATTTGAGCCAGGTCTGCTGTCACTCAAAGCCTGAGCTGTTTCACAGAATCATACTTTTAAAACTGGAGCCAGTTTTGAACAATGTCACTGTGGTCATGGTCTTTCAAGAGTGTTGCTCTCTTAAAGACTATGTGCAGTGTTGACAAAATGAGGTCACCCATACAGAAGGAGAGTGAGTGTCGGGAGTATCTGTCCTGGATGTTCTCCAGCATCCTTGGCCGGTAGCGTCCTTCCTACTTCTCAAGGGACACCTCCTCCCCTCCTGAGTGAAGCTTTGCCTATTTATTTTATTGAGGGGCCTGCAGGAAATGAATTGTTCTCTAGAGCAGTGGAGTTGTATACTGTTCTGCTGAAGATGTGTTTCCTGAACACTGCAGTAAAAAGAATTCCTTTGTCTTGTGTTTTAGAGTAAGGCGTTTCACACTAAGCAGATCAATAGTGCCTATATTTGCTTTCTTCTTGTTTGAGAGAGGATGTAGGAACCAGAATAGAGGGACCTAAAGCCAGAAGAAAGTATGAGGACTGATATAATTCAAATGAAACAAGTGGATGAACATGCCCTAAAAGATAGATGCAAATCTAGAACGTGAAAACCAACATTCCTTCAGCCCCTTGCACACTGTCTTTTGTATTCTTTTACCTTGTTTCCAGTTTCTCTCACACTTGCAGGGTGACTTCACCTCTTTTCTCACTGAAGAACTTCAGACTTCCCCCACTATTGCCTTCCTTTAGCTGTAACCTGGTCTTTCTACATTCTTCCCTGTCTTCTCCTAGCCACCCTGTTTCTGGACTCTGTTTCCACTTTGTTTCTTCCATGCCACTGTTGAGGACTCTGACTGTTGTCTTGATGCCTGTGTCCTTACTGTTTTTCCTGGAAAGGAAGGAAGTGGTAGCTAGATGAATAATGTATGTTAGCTTTTTGAAATTCTAGGAGTGCCTCTGTATTTAATGTCTCCTCCACCTTTCTTACTGGTTTAGCCGACAGACTTCTTATTGCTATAATCCAGGGGCTCCCTACTTTCTGAGAGCTAAAAGCAGCAAATGGCTTTTAATTGTCTTCTCCCTAGAACTTGTAGCCCAGTGTGCCTCCATTTCATCGCCAAATGTCTTAGAACTGTTTGCCTCTAATTCTTACTCCTTTTTCTCTCTTAGTTTTCTGTCCTAATTCCTCTTTTGAGATCACTTTCTCAACTGGTGCCCTCAAAAGCATCCTTAAACCACTTATCCATTCTGCCATGTTTGACACCACCAACTGCAGGCTCTCAGAAGGATATGGTCTTAACATTCAGTGAGAACCACAGCTGAGTGTGGAGCTGTAGGGAAACATTATGTGACAGACATGTGAGAAGGCTGCCGTTGTCTGCTGTGTAAGGGAGGAAAAGAAGCAGGGCGATCGGTCAGACCATTGCAATAGTCCAAGTCAAGAGAGGGCTCTGATACTCAGCAGCAGCCACGCTGAGCCGGGTGTTCATTCCAACTGTGTATTTTGAGAATAGACCTATATGCTTCACTGACAGATTGCATGAAATACAGTAACAAATTATGGATGACAAAAACGCTATGAACATGAACACCAGGGACTCTGTGGAGGACAGAGTTTAAGAGAGTCCCTGTTAGAAGAGGTGCCAAAGTGAGAAGCTGAAAAGCTGGAGTCGGTACTGCCCTGTGATGCCTTCATTCTCAGGGCTCTCAAGACCATCACCATGCACCGCTCCTAAGCTCATCCAGCTGCCTCCGCAGCACTGTCTAGTGTGTTTAAAGTAAAATGCTGATCTTTCCTGAAATCTTGCTTCAACTGCAACCCTCTTTATCAGATGATTTCAGTTCATCTTTTAGCTTCTCAGTATTAACGTTTAGAAATTGATCTTGTGAGATGGCTCTTATCAAGTATGATAGAGATACCTTTGAGCTTCACAATGAACACTTACTAATTATTGACCTCTAGTCTAGTATCTGAGAATGTTTCATCCCCCTGCTTTGGTAGGCTTCTTGAGAATGTGGATCACCTCGGTTCTACACACCCTGCCACAGTGTGCTACACATCCCAGATGATGAGTAACAAAATTCATATGGTAAATGTTCGAACCATTAGAAAAACAAAACAAAACCAAACCAAAACAAAACAAAACAAAACAAAAACAGGGCTGGAGAGATGATGCTCTGTGATTAACAGCACTTGCTGCTCTTCCAGAGAACTCAAGTTCAGTTCCCAATACCCATATCAGGTGACTACAACCATGTGTAACTCCAGCTCCAGGGGATCTTTTGACCTCAGTGGTCACCATGCACAGCACATGCATGTAAATGTAAAGCAAACAAAAATAAGTCTTTAAAGACAAAACTACTGAGCTGATCCTAGAGCTCAGAGAACTTAAGAAAGACTCATTTCACATAAAATCAAGAAAAGTAGGATTAGATTTAAAATTTGTCATTAATCACATTATATTGATCTTGCATATTCACAATAGACTTGCATGCCCCCCCAAAAGACACAATATATTAGCTTAGTTAAAGTTGTGACCCCTTACAAATTTTCTTGAACCCATAACATAAATAATGCATCTGAAAAGTTGGCATCAGATTTGTTAGGCTGGTAGCAATTAAATTAAACATTAGTTATTGTAGGCTGTAAGTTCTAGTTGGCTAGAGACTATCAGAATCTGGCTCAACACTGTATCCACAGCGCCCTGCAAAGACTGATCAGGAAAAATGACAGAGAGAATGAAAGGGAACACTGAGGAAAAGAAACCACATGGAATGACATTTCACAGGACAACGTGAAATGTTTAGCTTTGCTTCCAACAGTTTTTTTCTGTACAAGCTTAGTCATTGCTAGAACACACGGGTCATCCTTTCCTGGCATGCTTGCTCCAACCCCATACCAACTAAGTACCTCTTTGAGAATCCCAGTGTGCCGAAAAGGTTTCAGCCCTCCAAACAGAGTCCCCGTGCATCTTCCCA